GTCCCGTATTGGAAAATTACTAGCAACCCTAGCCCCAAAGCTACAAGAGAATTTCAGGTGTAAAGTTTTTAATGTTCTCCTCATGTTAATCAAATCACTTCTCTAACCCAGAAATTAACATTCCAATAGGAACACCACTCTATAAATTACCCCAATTACTTGTTGACCAGTATTTTGTGTTTCACCTTTTTTTCCTCCACACTTAACTATACCTCTTAGTTAATTTTATAATAAACTTTATTATCTTTTTAATGAAAAACATTGATGTAATAAAATGTCAAGCCTCTTTGATTTCATTTTTTTCTTTTAAACTCAGATCTTAATTTAGTATTTATTTTATATCTATTATTTGGCAGTCTTTCTAGTTTAACTACAAAGAAAAGTTATAAATTATAAGGTCCGTAAGGAATCTAATTATTTGAATTTGACAACCATGCTTTAAAATAAAATAAGATGACCACTGTAATTCCAATTTGGTAGGTAGAAATATTTGTGTAGACACATATAACCAGTATGTATTACGCCATACTTATAGTACAATTTAAAACCTATTCAAGTACTTTCTGCTTGAACAGCACAGGGTAAGGAAACTGGGTCCTTCTTGAAACAGCACTCTCCAGTTACTCTTTTTAGGAGTCCTTTGGTGGGGGCAAAGACAAGCGAATTTCACATAAGGGGAGCTGCTGCTCCAACAGCCATTGTACTCCCTGTTTTCCTTCCCTGCTACCCATTGTCACTCTGTGGTCAGTTGATCCCTGCCCATGCTGCTTTTTTTGAATTCCTGAACTCTAAACCACATATAGACTATTTCCCACTTAGTTTGTTAGTCTCCTCTGGGCTGGGATCTTCTTTCTTTCTGGCTTACGAAAAAGTACATTTTGTTTCTTAGGATTGACTCTTCTGATGAAGGTTCCCATGGCAGAGTGGTTGGGGCCCAGAGTGACAATCTCCTTTATAGAACAGCCCTCTTCTTTCCAGCACAGGGAGGGGAGGAGAGAGGCAGTGAAGGACGCTTGCAGCTTGAAGCTGTGTCTGGATTAGGAGAGGGTTGGCCATAGTCAGCAAAAAGGATGATCCCTTCATCCTTCAAGCTCTGCTGCACAATCTCCTCCATTTTCCTGTATATTTCTCATGCATGGTGATGTGCTTTGAGGGAGAATCCATTATTTCTTCTACCAGCTCAGGACAAATACAGACTTTTAGTTCATTGGATAGATATATATACACCTGAAAAATGTTCCTACCATAGGGCTTTCTAGCCTGATGGTAGTCAAGGAATCTGTTTTACTCTCCCTGACTGTTCCACCACAGTTGGGAGTTCCTAATTATTCTGTGACACAGAAGCCTGTTCTTCAGAGTAGACAGATGATCTTTAAGGGTTGATGTTACCTGCTTCCATATATCAGCCTAATAGTGTTTCATCTTTGATCTGACCCCAAATAATACTTGTTTTACTTCATTAAAAGACAATGGGAGTGAGGGGAAAAATATACCAAAAAAATATTAATAATGGTTATATACAGGATGAGATCATGAATGATCCTTACTTTCATTTTTTCACTTTTTAGCTTTCTAATTTTTTTTTAAAAAATGAATATTTATTAATTTTATGTCGAGCAAAACAATTCATGAAAGAAACAAAAAAACCTCATAAAATATTTATTATGTTCTCAGAACTTTGCCCAATATCTTCTGGGGATGACGGCTGTTAAAATTATAAAATAATTCCCTTTGTTTAGAATTTTCCATTATTACAAATGCTTCCATAAGTAGATAGTTCTACTCTGAATCTTATTTGAGACATTTACATTGCTTCTCAAGGAAGCCAACTTCAGTTCTCATTAGGCCTTCAGATTTTATTTTTAAAATTATAGTCATCTACTTTCTACATTGTCTCTTTACCATGTCATGCAAAAACAAATCATGTAATGGTAATATCCTATGGTGTCAACATCTAGCTACAGAAGATAATTTGATCTCTCCTCCACATGACATTGCTTCTAGAGGCCTCTTACAAGAGCAAAGTCTCTTATTTTCTCATTAAAAGTTGTTGCTGTTCCATGTACAGTATATATGAATCTGAAGACATGTACAGAAGTAGCATTCATCTGGGTATGCTACACGTGTACGATTCTGGACAAATAGTCCCATTCAGTGAACCAATTATTTTGCAATCACAATACTCAATGCAAAAATAAAATACCAAAGAACATGTCAAAATGAAGTGAAAGGAAGTGTTCAACTGGTTTCACTTTAAGGCAAGCTTAACTCTTCCTAAGCATCCTCTTGCCCCCATGCCCATGACTGGCCACCTAATGATGGGACAATGCCACCTGTCTCACATACCTAAGTATGACATGTATTAGAAGATTAACCTTCAATATCAATTGCTGAACAACTCAAACACCTTAACTGCCAAGAACTACACGAATTTTCAAGCACAGAGCATCATCACCCACTTATTCCCTCTGCTTATAAATAAAAGAACAACTCAGAAGAAATATACTAGCAAAAAGGCAAAAAAAAGTTGTTACTGTTCCAACAACAGTCAGTTCCATGCATATGACTAATAATAGTCAAACTATGATTAAAAGTGAGTAATATCACAAACAAGAAGTTACACAGTTACACCCTTCCAATACCTAGGCATTACCAAATAAAACCTCCTAGAACAAATGCAAAAGTAAGAAAATGGAAAAAGAGACTTACTTTGTGCCTAGCATAAAATACTGGCATATCATAAAATAAAAGTTATTTCCGAACAGAGGATTTTTTAGATACCATAAATCATACGTTATTAAAATAATTTAAAATTTACTTTTAGTACATCTAGTTTTGAAAAATAAACCCACCCTATTCATTGTTGTTGACCCAGATGTTTTCAGTAAAATACTGATTCACATATCTTCATATGAAACACTTGCAGACTAATATACCTGATGGAATTAAAATTCATTTAACGTACTGAATGTTTGCTGAAGTGTGGGCAGATCTTAGATCCTTAACAACTGATTTATAAAGTAATAAGTATAAAACTACTAGTTTTGCCACCATCTGTTATTTACCACCCTCAACAATCTCTCTACCTGCATTACTAAATATCTCCTTTAAAAATTCCTGAGGTGCATTAGGCTATGTATGTACGAGGTTCTCTTGCCTTAATATCTGTGTTGAGGCTACTTGGCAAACTGCTTTGTAACAACCTGGGTGCATCCAAAGCAGAGTAAATTGACTGTGTAATCTGACAGGTAAAGAAGTCTCTGGAGTTCAGCTTTACTGGGTGTCTCTCAGTTTGTATGTTATACGGACTCTCAGAGCCAGCAGACATGCCATGGGGCCACTGCTGGGATTACGGCTGGTGAGGGCCCTTCACAACACAAACTGGGGATGGACTTTTTATCCTGTGCTAGAGGGAGGACAGGTCACAGTCTCATTCATTCATAGCCAGTGAGAGCTGAGTGTTGAAATGCCCAAAGAGGAAGACGACCAATTCTCCTTAGAGAGTTGTGCCTGAGCCTTTCACTTTTTTTTTTCTCCAAAAGTGAAAGCTAATATCAACTCCCAGATTTTTATTTTTACATTTAGCAAATGCAAATGTGCAATCGAGTTAATACCTTGGTTTACAAAGACAGAGCAAAAGACCTGACTGCGGATTCAGAACTGACAATTTAACACAGGAGGCAGCATCAGCTGCAGACAGCAGCCCAGAGACCAGCATATACTGTCAGCCTACTTCTGAAAACCAGCCTGAGGCCAGAGAGTCCCTTTTGCTCAGGTCACAAAGAAACCTAGACTCCTCTGCACATATCTAAGTTCCATCTTAGGGAGGAAAGCAGGGGATGGAGAGAGGAACATGAGAGACTGGGAATTTTTATGCAAGAAAGACGAACACAACATGAAGAGACTACCTAACTTCTTAAATCAGATAAACTTAATCGCAAAAGAATAAAAGTTGATTTTTATCCTTAATAAACAACTAATGGAGGCTGGGGTAATAATCAGATTAGCTATGGTTGAAGTAAAACAAATTAATTTTCTTTGTGCATTCAAAATACAGTTTGAATTAAACCCTTCATCCTTGCACACTGGCATTTATGTGAATAACTTTTGTCAGATCCTATACATACATTATCTCATTTAATTCTCACACAAGCCCTGTGTGAGGACATTATAATCCCCATTTTACACATGAGAAAAATGAGGCTAAAAGATGTTATACAACTTGCACAAAGTCACATATTTAGTAATAGACCTGGGACAGGGAATGGATTGCTTATTTAAATGTTTTAATTTTAAAATACTTAAAATATACTTTAGAGGAACTGAATATTTTGAAATTTGAAGATATTCAAGTAGAAGACTTCTGGATAGGGAAAGCTGAGTTGTCTTGTAGGAAGTATTTGCTTTCTGATTTGCATTTGAGACTTTGGTCTTCAGGCAAATTTTAAAGCAAATGGATGCTTAAAAGGAGCAGGCAGAATTCTGCCAGTCTTGCTAGCAGTGAGGTAGTAATATGTGTTCACTGGAAAGACACTTTCAGTACAGTAAGAACCAGAATGCCATTGGTGACTTGCTTCTCTGATGTGATGGCACCGAGAAGCCTCCAAGCAGGTTTTTAAGGTATGGTCTTTGCAGTTAATCAAGTCTGAGTTTAATCCCTGTTCAGCTACATAATAGCTATGTATGACAGTGACCATTTTAAGCTCATTTCCATAAAGTTAAAATGGCAACATGTCTAATCAGGATGAAATGAGATAGCACATGTAACATACTAAACATGGACCTGCCACATAGTTGGTGTTCAAAACTGTCAATTTGTATCTGGCTCGATCCCATTTTTTTCTCAAAAAGTGAAAGCTAATATTAACTCCCAGATTTTTATTTTTACATTTAGCAAATGCAAATGTGCAATCGAGTTAATACCTTGGTTTACAAAGACAGAGCGAAAGAAATCATCTCTTGGAGTATATTTATCAAGTTTAGAACATGCATTTGCTTACCAGCTCACTGAATTCATTATTGCCTAGGTCAAGTCTTTCCAACTGGGCCAGTTTGTGCATTGACCTATAATAGATGGAGAAAGATACTATTGTGAGGCAGTGCATGACACATTGCTCTAAAAGACATTCCAACCACCTTCTTGTCAGATTTACCTGATTGTATAGGGGTAATCTTCAGCAAGAAGTAAATCTCAAATACACAAAACCTATGCACACTGCCATCTGAAACCCATTAGTAGTTTACCATAATCTACAGCATCTTTTCACAAATGCCAATATGGTTGGCATGAAGGGCTGGCTGCTTAACAAAAATCCAAGAAGCTTATTAAATATTTATACCAGTGGGAGGTGTAGGGTGGGGCCCCACTTCAATATTTTTAAGAGTCACCACAGGTTTAGAAGTCAATGGCTGAACCCAATTATCAGCAAACTATTCTAAAACCTCACAATATGGCACAATTTCATCACCAGTCTTATTATTTTCTACTCCCTTAAATGAACTTCTGTTATAGACAAACTGTAGTCATTGTCTCCCAAATATATTGACTTGAAAGCTGCTACAGCTATGAATAGTTGTCAGACTGCTATGGTTTGGCTCTGTGTCCCCACCCAAGTCTCATCTTGAATTGTAATCCCATAATCCCTACATTGAGGGAGGGACCAGTGAGAGGTGATTGGATCATGGGGGTGATTTCTCCCATGCTGTTCTCATGAAAGTAGGTGAGTTCTCATGAGATCTGATAGCTTTGTAAGAGCTTGACAGTTCCTCCTTTACATGCTCTCTCTTGCCTGCCACCATGTAAGATGTGCCCGCTTCCCATTCTGCCGTGATTTAAAATTTTCTAAATCCTGCCCAGCCATGTGGAACTGTGAGTCAACTTTTCTTTATAAATTACTCAGTCTGGAGCAGTTCTTTATAGCAGCATGAAAACAGAGTAATACCCAAACCTTGGGCAAGAGTTGGTGTCAAAGTTTCAGGGAACTCAAGTGTACTCCATATGCAGTCAGCATTTCTCAAAGCACTCTCAAGTAAAAGTACAATATGAGAAAAGACAGTGTTTTTCGGAAATTTTTTTTTTAATCTCCCCACTAATCAGAATTCTCTCCTTAAGTTCTGTCTATACAGGAATTCTTGAGGCATCACTGATTGAAATCTCAGAAATTTTAGTTTTATCACATTTAAAATGGATGTAGAAATTACCTTAAAGGGCTTTTATGAACTTTAAGTGAAATACTACTGCAACCCAGACACTATCAGATACTCAGAAATGCAAAAAAAAAAAAAAAAAAAAGTATGTATTCTTTCTTCACTCAGAAACTATTATTGAGAAACTATTATGTGCTGATCTGGGGTATGGCAGTGACCAAAACAGATAAAAATTCCTACCTCAAAGGACTTTACATCCAGTAGAGAAGAATTAGAGTAAACAAAATAATAATATAAAACAACATATTAAAAGGTTACAAGTGCTATGGAGGAAAGTTAAACAGAAGAGGGAGATAGGGAGAATTCATATGAGGATTTAATTTTTAGTAGGGTGATCAGGTAAGTACTCAATGAGAAGATGAAATTCGAGCCAAGGCTGAAAAGAAATGAAGGAGCATGCTAATATGGAGATTCTAAGGCAGGGTTATTTTGCTTGCTTGAAGACATCCTAGGAGACCAGTATGGCTTTTATTTATTTGTTTTAAAAGAATATCTGTGATTGCAGGCTTATAAACAGAGTGAAGGGGACAACAGTAGAAGCAGGAAGATCAAATAGGAGGCTAAGGTAGTAAGTCAAATAAGAAGTGACAGTGGCTTGGACCACATCCATTTTTCTTATTATAAGAAGGATGCAGCTGCAAGTGACTGATGAGGAAGACCAGGTGGAGCAGGGTTTTGGGTAGACTGGAAGTTCAGTTTTAGGTGCTCAGTTGGAAATCTCTACTCTAGAACCAACCAGAGATGTTACTCATGCAGTTGCACAGACAAGCCCAGAGATCAGGAAAGAAGTCTAGGAAAGACATAATTTGAGCATGGTAGCATAGAGATGGCTTGCCAGCTCACTGAAATCATTATTGCCTAGGTCAAGTCTTTCCAACCAAGCCAGTTTGTGCATTTACCTATAACAGATGAAGAAAAATACTATTGTGAGGTCTTGAGAAAATAAGATCATCAAGGGTATAAATGCAGGTGAAAAGAGAATATGTCTAAATGGATACGAAGAATAAATAAAACTGAAAAGTGACTAGGGATGTAGAAGGAAAAAAGTCAGAAGAGTGTAGAGTCCTGGAAGCCAAGTAAGACTAGTATTTCTAGGTGGCTGCTATGACCAATTTTGACAAAAGCCACTGATGATCTGAGAACTGACCACTTAATTAGACAACATGGAGATTAGTGGTGATTTTGAGATGAGTAGTTTTACAAGCTTTAAGCTTTTGCTAATGCTATTTCTTCTATTCAATATGCTTTTACCTATTTATTACTCAAAATTATTTATACAATAGCAAAAATATATTAATTTCCTATTTTCTCCCAGGTTTTAGGGCTATAAAGATGAAAGGTGTTGTCCCCAGTATTAAGTAGTTCATAATCTTGAGAGAAATTACAAATGAATGAATAATTTCTACCTGATAGGGTATTTGCCATAAAAAATCATATGTGTAGATTGCTAGAGAACAAAGAGGAGAGGTACTTTTTCAGCCTTGGTGGAGGTGGGAATAGAAAACAGAAGGCTTTACTGAAGCTTTACTTTGGAGAAGCAGGTTACAGAATCAGGGGAGATGGCCATTTCAGAAGAAAATATCAAAGAGGTAGGATGGAAGAGATCATGGCCCATTCAAGGACTTGCAGGTTAGTAAGAGTAGTAAGAAATAATGTAAGAAATAAGAAATATGAAAAATAGTAGAAAATAAGAAATAATATGTAGGTAGACACTAGATCATGAGGTCATCTCCTGTATCAAGCCAAGGAATTTGAGTTTTAGCTTGAAGGCAATGGAAGGCTTTAGGTTTTAGGTAGGAAAAAGATACAAGGTTTTTATTTTAGAAAGGTTACATCAGCAGCTTGGAATGGTGTGGGGAATGGGGAGAAGATGTGCTAGTCCTAAGGCCAGATAACAGACTGTCTTGAAATTCACGTGGTATATAATTGGGGCCAGAAATAAGGCAATGGCAATATGAATAATGTGGTGGCAGATAGGAGAGATGCTTTGGAGAAAGACATGACTTGATTTATGATGATGACCGGATGTCAGATGTAAAGGAGAGGGAAAAATTAAAGATAGTCTCTCAGTTGAATAAGAGTGTAAGAATATTATAATGGAATAAACCTAAGGTGGAGATATGTTGAATGTAATGTATTGTATTTTAACTACTACGTTGGCTTTGAGGTGAATGTAAGATATATTAGGAAAAAATGTGTGTTTGTGTGTGTCTGTGTTTGTCTGTGTCTGGAGCTGAGGCAAAAAGTCTTCACTGGAAATAGACTCAGGAATAAAATCTTATCTACTCTACCCGAAAAGGAACTCTCCTTTTTTAACCCACATTCCATTTTCTTCCTTTTGCATGATTTACTTGGAGTTTACCACATACTTTCATGAATTGTTAGAGTTTTCAAATCTATCAGCCTCCTTTCTCCACCCAGATCTTAAAATATGTTTTAAGATGCCCAGAACATCTTGTGTGGGACCACCAGCAGTCCAAAGATGGTTGTGAAATCTCGATGAATGCTTGTAAGAACATCTGCTACACCTCTCACTAAATCTATACCACTGAATAAGTGCTTCTAGGGAAAGGGGATTGGGTAATAGTTGGGCCCCTTGAAGAGAGAATTAGATTTTCTTCTGAGCCTGGGAATATGAAGTGGCAGATTCTCTCAAACCTTACTATGAGACCACATATCCAACAAACAAACAATGAGCACCAAAGTATTGGGGGCTGAGGTGACGAATCAAGTGGCCAAGTGTGGCAAGTGAGTAAGAAATGCTCATAGGAACAGTAGGGACACTTGCATGTGACTTGACCATATAGTTCTAGGCAACATGTATTCTAGTGAGAACCATAATGAGCTAAAGACTAGAAGCCCTTCAGCAATTTCTGGGCTTCTATGAATTCTGTAGTTCTCATTGATGTCCAAGGAGAGTTTGATATAAAACTGAGAATAGATTTTTTTGCCAGCCCTGTGGTGGAGGCCCAAGACAAAACTAATTTTATTAAAAGAAGAACTGAGCGATATTTTATGCCTCAGTGTCTTAAAAAATATTTTATTAGTAATAGGACTTATCTTTTTATAGGCTAAATATTAATGATCTCTTAAATCCCTGGTATAATAGTGTTTCCAGACTCCTAAACACACTGATTATTCAGTTCAGACCTACTAAAATTTGTCAGTTTATTTTCCAAAACAGAGGAGGCCCAAATCTGGCACTCTTTTTTTTTCTTTTTTTAAAAAGTGGTTCCAGGTTTAACTGGGGGTGAAAGGGTGCTGCACAGTTGCTCAGAGGGCCCATGGATAGGCCGCACGAGTATTTGCTTTTGCGCAAAAGAGGAGTGTGGCCTAACTAGAAACAACTCTGGGCCTTCGTGTCTGCCTCAGTGACCTGGGGAACATGAGGCGGCTCTGCTGACCAAGTCTTCTCTTTGGAACACCCCTCCCACCACACTGCCATGGGTCTGGGAGCCTGCCACCCCTGCTGAAGTCAATTTCTTAAGGGAGAGTCTGGGGATGAACTGGCAGTGGGGACCCCCAGGGCCCCCAGTCTGGAAAGACCCCCTCCCAGCCATTTTGGGAACAATAAATATTGTGCAACGGCGGCAGGGAGTGGAGGGTTCGGCCACAGGCGACCGGCAGCTGGGAAGCCAGACGGCCCAGCCGCCATGCCCCGCCCCGAGGCCAGGCCTGAGCTCCCTACCCTCACTCCAAGTGGAGAATGATGCGGATGCCCGAATTGGAGAACACTGTCCTGCTCATCTCCCCTGTCCCCAGTCCAAACGAGGTGTCTTTGAATGGCTTCTGCATCTGACCTTTGCTGAAAGCACCCAGGTCTCCCCTGGCCTTGGCCGAGCTGCAGTCGCTGAATT